TTTTAATTTGTAGCTATAGATCTGGACCGTTGGTTGACTGGTGCCTCTCCGCTACGAAGAGACGCACTTGTATACTAGTGTGGACTGAAGTTCCAAGTGTACATAGGGACAGGAGAAACAATGGCAGACTTGGCCGAGAGAACTACTTCCAGTCTCGAGGAAATAGCTCGAGTGGAAGTGGAAAAAACAGGACAAGGAGTAGATACAGGGACAGGGACAAGTGCTGCCAGAGAGCTCGAGTATGGTGAAGTCTTCAAAGAAGAAGAAGTCGCTAGCTCGTCGTCAATGGCTTGTCAATCATATGTTCCCGACGATGTCTGGGTACGTGTTTTCGAGCGGCTACCGTGGGCAGGGGTGGTCCGGGCTAGAACAGTGTGCAAGCGCTGGCAGAAGCTGATCGAGTCCCCTCACTTCGAGCAGGCAGTGTCGTCGCAACCTCCGTGGCTGTTCGTCTCCACGACACTGGACGACACAGTGAAGGACGACCTCCATGCCTACGACCCGGAAACGGATAGGTGGTACAGCGTCCCTCTCGACTTCCTGGTGAAGAACCACTCGGGACCTCGCTGGACGGTGGTCTCGAGCACCGGCGGGCTGGTTTACGTGATGCAGGAGCCGTGCAGGGACCTGTTGATCGACGTGTTTAGCCCGATCACGAGGAGGAAGCGAACGGTGGCCTACTCGGGATACCCGCGCTCCCGCGAGCCGGTGACGCCGGTGGTGTGGACGTTCCTGGGCGACGATGCGTCCCACTCGCGGTGCCACCACTTGCTGGTGGCCTCGAGCTGCGACGGCTGGGGGACGCGGCTCTACTGCCCGACCGACTGCGACTGGGAGGAGGTTGGCGAGGGGCATCCAAAGCTGCGCGACTCGAGGGACTCCAAGTACGCGTGCTCGGTCCGGGACGAGAAGTTCTTCGTGCTGGTGGAGGACGAGATCGACGCGGGGGTGGATCCGTATGGGTTTGAGCAGGTCGAGTACCGGATCGTGCTGCTGGGATTCGACGCCGCAGAGGGGTTCTGGGAGGAGTACAGTATGTTCCCGTTTGAGCGGGCCGAGGACGCGGTGATCGTGGAGTTTCACGGCTATCTTCACTTGGTGGCGGCGTCGTGCGAGTCGGACCGGCTGTGCATCCGGGTTTACAAGTTTTTGGAGAGGAAGAGGGATGCGTGGGTGGAGGTGACGGCGACGAGCGAGCTGTGCCCGCTGAGCTTTGGATCGCGGCTGGGCTTCTTTCAGCTGGCGTGTGCCACGGCCGGGGATTTGCTCTACGTTGTGGGCTACTGCGAGGACTCGGCGCTGGCGGGGGTGTGTGACTTCTCCGAGGGATCGCCCAGGTGGAGGAGGATTTCCAGCGTCCCGTTTACGACGGTGGGCTTTTGCTTTTGCTGCAGCAAGAAGATCGATTCATCGCATTTCTGGTAGTCGCGATTAATTTTAATCAAGATATTTTATACCTTTTGATACAATCAAACTCCAAATAAATTTGATATAATTACATGAACTTATTTGTAAACTTAAAACTACAGATAAGTATATTTACCATTTATTATTTATATTTGGATTAAATTTTTTTAAGTTCAATCTAACATAAGGAGAGGGATGGAGAGAAAGTTTGAGAATATGTGGAGTAAAACCTTGTTGGTTATATAATAAATAGCTGGACCTAAGTATTGATCAAGCTAGAGTTGGTAAGATAGGTGGGATCCTTAGTAAAGGAATTTAATTAATGCCAAGGCAAAGATGTTCGAATAAATGAGGTAAGTTAAAACAGGATTATACAGGACAGACCCGATGCAGACCCACTATTTTGAAATGTTTTCATTGTAGAAGTTACATGCTTGCTTTGCGTAGTCCTCTGCACCAAATGTACCAAACAATTCACACCAGAGTTTTGGCGCTCGTTCTCTCGAGTTCTGTAATGCCACGGACTTTACTCGTGAGCATCCAAGTTGATTGACAACATTGCCTAGGATCTATCTTACTATAAAGCCATGGGGTTGCCATCCTATGTGGAGAGAATTTGGGCTGCAAAGAAATTTCACGCTAGCGGGAAGATACACTAAGTTAAATCATTACTGAAAATAAAGTTTCAAGAGAATTACACGATCCGGTTGTACAGCTTCTATTGTAGGAGGCCTTGCTGATTGGGACTGGCCTTGCTTGTAACATAATGGTATTCTTACAGTAAGAATTACTGAGGAAAGATTTATTTCTCGTGGAAGCTCCAATCATAGTTGGCAGAGACTTGATGTTACACTGATACTATATAACCGAAAAGTAATGATATTTAGAGTTGAGCCTGGCGACAGGAAAAAAACAATGTTTAGTGAAGACAGAGATCTCTTGAGCTTGGGAGTTGAAAGCCCCCAAAGAAACTCAAACGATCAGCTGGCACAATGTAGGAAATTAAAAACGAAAGAAAACTTACCAGAAGAATGCACTACCAACTTCAGAAAAATCGAAAACTTGCTCGATGAATCACTCTCCATCCAGTTGGAAACACTCGTCGCCCTTGCTGCTCCACATTCTAGTCTCGTATATATGAAAAGCCAGTAGATTTTGATTTAGCAAACACTTTTAGGCTCGGTCTAGCAGAAATTAGTATCAGTGATAAAGTTTTAAAATTGCAAAATTTAAGTTAACTGCTACAACATCTGCTATGTCAATGGTGAAATCCAGGCTTGCTGAACCATAAGGTCATTCTTTCCCCATCAGTATTTTCCACTGTAAGAAGACCATTGTTTTGCAAGCACAAGGCCAGTGCCAACCAACAAGGCCTCTTACAATAGAAGCCGTATGTCCATATCACCTTAAAGTTCTGATCATACAAAACAAGGTTGCCATCCATTTGCAAGCGAACAAAACATCCAGCTCCAGCTCCAACCGTGCCACTATCCCAGACTGGATGACTCGTATCATCCTTCATAGCATCGCCTTTGTAAACCACAAAGTTGCAATCGTTTTGGATCTTGGCAAAATATTCCCCATTGGTTGAGACCAACACCTCTCCAATCCTCAGCACACCCTGGTGGAATCCATGAGGAGCTGATCGCCGGCATGTCTTGTAGATATCACAGTTTGGAGCATTATAAAATCCCCAATCCGGATCATGTTGGAACTGATTAATATTATAAACATTGGTAATGTTGTTACTAGACGCAGTTTTTGGATCGCCCAATCCTGTTGAAACCGTGTCTACGTTATTATTCTTTTCAGCAACTGTGTAGCTCATAGTGTATCTTCCCTGGATGACCTCAACACTGCCATGAAGATGATTCGCAATATCATGCATCATGATAGCGAGGAGCTTCCTGAAATTTCTTTGCAGGGCAACTGCTGGAGCCTGGATTCCCACTGTGGGAAATATACTGCACATAATTTCTTTGTACCAAGGCCTCTCCAGCTCTCCCCAGAGGATGGCAACCTCTGCGAGCCTACCATCTCCGGTGGGGAGATGCATCGTTATAAATCCCATCTCTTTGTAGTAAGATAGATGCCTTGGTATGCCATCAATCAGCTTGACGATTTCCTTGAACAAGAACATTCGGATCCCCGGTGTTATGGAATTGGGGCGCTGACGAGTAAAATCCGCAGCGTTATACAACTCGGGAAGAGCACAGAGGGAGAGAAGTATTAGCAAGAGCATGAAACGAGAAAATGCCATACAGTTGCCTCGTCTCATTGCATGAGTCCTCCTGAGATTTACTTAAGGAGAACTGCGGATATAAAGGAGAGAATTTGCTTTTGGATATGCGAGCACCAAGACTCTGGTGTGATTGCTTGGTACATTTGGCTTGAAAACATATTTGGCTTGTACCTTAAATTGGACTGCTTGTCCCTGTACAATCAGAATTTTCAACACTTGTAAGCTGGTTTGCAAGCATCTCACTTCCTCTCACAACCTTGATTGTTTGAGCTAGAAATTTTATTTAAAAAAAAAAAAAAAAATCGTAAAGAGTAAGCGCTTACTTTGATACCATAAGGAAGAAACCGTGTCGCGAACGCTTAGAGCTGACACTGGTCATAGGAACGAAAATTGTTTTACTGAAGACGGAGATCTCAAGCTTGGGACACCGAGTGACTCAATTAACGACCACCATTCCAAGCTGGGAACAATGTAGAGTTAAGAACGAACAAAGTTAAAAAGAAAACTTACCTGAACGCGCTACCTTGCTCGAAAGCCTCCATGGATAACACTCTGTGGCAGGCATCGATGAAAGAGCAGTGCCCCATTCCGGTCAGGAATGGAAACACTCGTCGTCAGTGCTGTTCCACCAAAGTTCAGCGGTTCTCATGGAACTTTTGCGTTCACTCGCCGCTCCCCCTTCGTCCGGCGATTCAACATACGTGACAAGATTCATGGATGTGTGTTGGAGGTCGGCAAGAATCCATTGAGGTTTAGGGATCGCCTGGATGGTCGAGAGAGATATCAAATATTCCAGTGGTGGGAGCAGCATAAGAAAGGCAAGGAGTAAAAAACCATGGGCTTGGGCGGGAGGTGCGACGGTACAATGTTTTCTCAGTCACTGACCAGCACAAGAAAACATCGGAAGAAAACTCTGGAACTGGAAAATGCGAAGAGCTGTGTAGTATATCTGAAGAGGAAAGACATGTTGATACCACTGGAATCGCGACGACGAGAAAACCACAGCACTCCAAATGCGTGGTCGCACAGAACACAATCCAGATGCTTCTCTTGACTGGCCAAGAGCTGGAGCTGGAAAATTCCATTGAGATTGACGCGGCATTCCCTAATAAAATTAATTATACTTATTAGTAAATATCTAGTAAATTCTAAGAGCTTATAGTTCAGTGGATAGAGCATCTGTTTCCAGAGCAGAAAGTCATAGGTTCGAACCCTGTCCACCGCGACAACTACTTTAAAGGATCCAGACAAAAGGACGAAAGGAAGGAAGAACTCGTGTATGGCAGGAACTCCGATTAGTGATATTGACAGGGGTATGTGCTCGCTAATTCTTTGCTCCTTTGGAAATTCTAATAATGCCACTCTTGGGCATTGGAATTGTAGGGTTCTAAGCTCGAGAGAAGGCGGTGGAATTGGCGCCTAGCGCAATTCTTATTTTAGGTCATGGCCGCGGATCTTCGCGTGGCGCTGCTGCCCGGCGAGGAATCCACACCATGCACAGAGAGCTCCGGATCGGCGGCGCCGGCGCTCAAGAATGACGATCGCAAGGCTGACAGCGGCAGAGCATTGGATTGCCTCGAGGAGGAGGACCGATTGGTGCTGTGGGAGGAGGTGAAGCGCCAGTGCTACATTGCGCTGCCGATGATCTGCGTCAATCTCCTCCAGTTTTTGATCCAGGTCACGTCGGTCATGCTCGTGGGGCACTTGGGGGAGCTCCAGCTCGCCAGCGCTTCCCTCGCCACGTCCTTTTGCGTTGTCACTGGCTTCAGCTTCCTGGTACGTGTCGAAATTCGGCGAAATTCGAGAGCTAGAGCATTTCAACCGCATAACTTTTGCATCATCGCGAAGAGATTTTTCGTTTTCATTCTCGCTTCCTAGTGTGTTCTTCGTGTGAAACATGTAAGTTGGAGTTTCCTATTTGATGTTTGAGGGTTTTTTTCTGGTACGTATGGCTCACATATGCTTCCTTGTCCTTTAGTTTATCGTCTTGACTGGTTATTTTGTCCTCCCAGTCAGCCTTTCAATCTGTATCTATCGTGTCAGGGCGTGTCGCTCACAGTTTTGTTGTTGACACTTTTTTTGTCTAGATGGGCATGGCCAGTGGTATTGAAACTCTTTGCGGACAAGCGTTTGGAGCACGGCAGTATCACTTACTTGGCATTTATCTACAAAGAGCTGTTGTAGTCCTCCTCATCCTATGCGTACCGATTGCCGTCGTGTGGCTCAACGTGGAACATCTTCTCAAGGCCCTGGGACAGGATCCGGTCATCTCTTACAACGCTGGGATCTACGCTCGATGGTTGATCCCGGGACTGGTTGCCTACTCGGCTCTCCAGCCGCTTGTCAAGTTCCTACAGACGCAGAGTGCCGTGATCCCGATGATGTTGTGCTCGCTGTTCACGCTGTGTGTCCACATTCCACTGTGCTGGGTTTTTGTCTACAAGCTTGAGTTTGGTATCAAGGGGGCCGCCATAGCAGCGACTTTTTCCAACTGGCTCAATGCCATACTACTGGCGAGCTATGTCAAGTTCTCGAAGACATGTCAGAAGACGTGGACCACTTTCTCGGCGGAGGCTTTTCAAGACTTCAGAGGCTTTTTCCGGCTCGCTATACCTTCGGCGGTTATGATCTGGTAAGAAAGTGTTCTATGGTTTAAAGCAGTGCTGAATTTTTCGTGTTCTGGCAGCTTTGAGTACTGGTCGTTCGAAACTCTCGTACTTCTTTCCGGAATTTTGCCCAACCCTCAACTTGAAACGTCAGCTTTCTCGATTATGTAAGTTTGTGGGAAACTAGAGTTTGTGGTCCTCATCTGTTCTGTTGCAGATTAAACACATTGTCTCTGTGCTATATGGTTCCTTATGGCCTGAGTGCGGCAGCAAGGTAAGAGAATTGACTCAAAAAGCTTTTTTTTCCTTTGCAATTTTATAAGTTTTTCCTTTGGCAGCACTCGAGTGTCAAATGAACTTGGAGCTGGGCACCCAGTGTCCGCAAAGACTGCAGTATGTGTGACAATTAGCATTGGACTTTTGGATTCCTGCCTAGTTGCTACACTGTTGCTCTCGACGCGGAACGTCTTGGGATATGCCTTCAGCAACGAGGAGGAGGTCGTCAAGTACGTAGCAAGCTTAATGCCACTTACAACACTCATAAGTGTTCTGGATCCTATTCAAGGGATTTTTTCAGGTCCTCGCTTGTTGTTTTAAGTTTTTCTCTAGCTAAACTTTGATTGTATGCAGGTGTAGCTAGAGGCTGTGGATGGCAAGGTTTAGGCGCCGTTGCAAACCTTGGAGCATATTATATTGTGGGTTTACCATTGGGATCAGTTTTGGCTTTCTTCTTCGATCTGAAGGGAAGGGTATGTCTGACTTTCTCCTCGTGCATCTTAGTTTTCTGACTCTCTTTACAGGGTTTGTGGATTGGCATAGTTTGCGGCATTGCAACTCAAGCGACTCTCCTCACAATCGTTACCCTCTCGACAAACTGGCAAAAACAAGTGAGGAAAAGAGCTACTGAGGTCATGATACTAACTTTTAACATCTTGCAGGCTCGAGAGGCTTGGGAGAGAGTGCATAGAGCAGAAAAAGTTCTGGAGGAACCTAAAACAGGTAACGCTAAATGCAAATCATCTGTTTGATTCATCACTTTTTGGTTTCAGGATCTCAACACTGTTGAAAATATGGGAACTTCGAAAAGAGAACGAAAGGAAAAGCAGTGATTTTGCTCGTGAAATTGCATTTTAATTTAAAGAATTGACGAAGTGTCTACTCTGCCCTGCTGCCTATGTGGCAGCTCTCTTGTTGCAAGGTGTTCAAACAGCTAAACTCGTCATGTCTTCCCCAAAAAGCGTTTGCTCTTTTTCCAACATAATTACCTTAAATAATGATTTTAAAACTATCATATAAAGTTTTAAAAATACTTAAAATTTTTGAATCATAATTTGTATCTATTTATAAAATATGAATATATTAATTCTGGAAGTAATTGAAAGGTATTAAAATATAAATACATAAAATTTATTCTTGTATTTTAGGTTTGTAATAAATTTAATTAGATTGGGAATCAAAATTACAATAAGTTGCTACACGTTGCATGTAGTAACACTTGGTTTTCTTAATAGTAGTATTATTCTTACTTATTAATCCAATTGATCAAATAAAGTTTATAATTATAAGCATGTTTGTAATTTATAAATGCAAAATTAATTTTATTGCATTAAATTATAGAATAAAAATTAATATACTAGGAGGGTTTATGAAAATTTATATATTATAAAAATGTTTATAAATTATAAATACAAGATTAATCTAAATATATAACAATCATTAGATGGTAGAATATCATAAAATATCTAAGCATATTTCTAAATATATCCACTACCATCCTACAGGTTTGCTTAAGCAAACCAAAAACATCACCTATTTAGTATTAGACTAATTTCAAAGGCAATCCCCATTCTATCCCTGTTATACATTTGGGAACACATATGATAGAACAAGTAGCAACATGGTATAATTGGCATTAGTCTAATTTCTAAGGCAATCAGCCATCCTATCCCAATTATACATTTGGGAATGCCCCCTACAAAGATAGTATCATGCTAGCAATACTACAAAAAAATTTGTGTTAATATGAAACCATTTGCCACAATATACATAATTTCTTTAGCATTATCCAACTTCTAAGACTCTACAGGAATACCCCTACCCAAGCTGCTCATGTTTGCCAAAAGTATACAATTCACCAGTAGTTGAAAACATTAGAGCTTTAGCCTGAATTGAAAGAATAAAGCTCTCCATAAACCATCAACAACAGCAAAGTACTCATATCTAGCACCTATGGAATGTTGTACCATGCTGTAAATTTGATGTTCAATCTCCCACTTATAAATGCTGTAATATTTTATCACAGATTATTATTTTTATTTTACTAAATAAATAACGACAAAACCATTAAGAGGATCCAAATTGATCAGGCATGCAGATTAGTCCCCAAATTCCCCTTTCTCCAAACAGGTTAAGATAGTATGAGAGTGTGGTACCTGTATTAAGACCAAGCCCAATAGAAACTTGGCATCTTCATATGCAAGAAATGGTACATAAGCATGAATCATTTTTTTAGGTTAGATAAATACCTTCATAATAATATCTATAATGGCTTATAGTCCATATTTATCACTTTTTATGTTTTATTTACTTTTTTAAGTATAAAATTTACTACTGCTCCAAATAAACATGAAACTTTTGGAAGAATTGGAATATTAAATCCACATGATATTGATAATATTGTAGAATCTGTGAAAATGTATTAACTAAAATAAAATATAAAAAACCTTACTTGATAACATATGGTAATATATTAATGTACTTCTAATGGATTCGTTGATATCATTATTAAACAAAGTATCAATGTAGTATTACATCTACACCTGAAACTGTTTATGGTGAAAGTTTAAAATTAGGTTTTGAAAATCTTTTATATGGTAGGATTAGTTCTTTAAAGAAAATTTATCTGACTTTTTTTCTGTTAATTATTTTATACAATTTAAACTCAGAGGCAGTCCTGGACTTTTATTGCAAAAATAATTATATTATAACTTCTAGTTTGATGATTTTTACTGCAATCTTAAAACTAATACTTTGATTTTTTGGTTTTAAGTTAACTTTTTGATATTTCCAAATGGTAAAAATCTTTGCTATTGGATTCTACTTGTAGCCTTGTATTATATTCAGAAAATACTTTAATTTGGAAAACTAAAAGTCTTATGAAAATGTTTTCAAAATTGCTTTCTAGTCTTACAACTTGATGGTAATCTGGTTTTATATGATAATAAAGAATCCATCTGAGCTACTAATACTAATTGCCATAAAGATAATTATTGTGAATTACCAACATTATTTACTATTCAAAATGACTGTAATTTACTAATATATTCTGCAAATTTTCCTAATAATGTTTTATGGCATTTATTTTGAAAAAATATTCAAACTATTTAAATATTTAGGATCAAAGCCATGTGCTGCTCAAAGTTTGATAGAGTTGACGCCTGCCGCAACAACTACATAACTTCAATCTTGCCATGCATGTAAATGTAAGTTGTTATGGTCTTCAGACAAAGCGTATAATACATAAAGTCGAACTTGGAACGGTTAGTAGGCACGATTGATCAGGCTTTTCATTGTCAAACCTCGAGACTGCCTAGAATTTGCTAGAAAATAAAAATCAAAAGCTGCACTGTGTTCTATCCACTCTTGAAAGCCCTTGCTATTTAGCTTGGTTTCTTTCTCTAGGGCTTAAAGCAACAATGGGTTTCGGTGTGCACGTCCTTGACGCTGTGGAGCAGCACACGCACACGGTCATTCTTCTCCACGGCCGCGGCAGTAACGGGGAGGAGTTTGTGGAAGACCTCCAAGGTATGACCACGTCCAGCGGGCAGTCGCTGTTTGCCCACTTCCCAGGCGTTCGCTGGGTGTTCCCAAGCGCGCAAACTCTCTGGTCGAGCCAGTTCTTGGAGGCGATGAGCGCCTGGTTTGATGCGCCGTCGCTGACGGACATAAGCAAGAACAAGCACCTCCAGGTCCCCGGATTGAAGAGCTCGGTGGAGTTCGTGCGTGGGGTGATCCAAGACGAGGTCGCGCGTCTCGGTGGTGACGCCGCCAAGGTGGTGCTGGGCGGTATCAGCCAGGGACAAGCCACGGCGCTCCACGTCCTGCTGGGAGGAAGCCACAAGCTCGGGGGATTCGTGGGTGCTAGCGGATGGCTTCCTTTCGCGGACGAAGTGGAAGAACTCGGTTCTCTCGCAGAGGTCTCTTCCCATTTTCGTGGAAAGCTTGGGCTAAGAGATTCAAGGTGGCGGGGTTGAGGAGACGCCGGTTTTCCTGGGACATGGCACCGACGATGAGATGGTGGACGTGAAGTTTGGGAGGCAAGCGCGTGACGTGCTCAAGGCTGCGATGGTGAAGAACTTGACGTGGAAGGAGTACGTCGGTGCCGAGCTTGACGGGCACTGGTTCAAGGAGCCGGAAGAAATGGACGACATTGTGGCATTCCTCAGGGACTGCTTTGTTGATTCCTTGGGTAGTGATCTCAAACAAAGTTCCATGGAGTGGTGATCCGAACCAGTGAAGCTATATTTCCATTTGAGTGGGTGATCCAAACAAGTGAAGCTATAGTTCTCAAAATAAGTGAAGCTATAATTCCATTTTCCTTGTGAACTCTTCCAGATTTGAATTTTAGGGCTTGGCTATGGCCGGGCGGGAACGCAGGGCCAGCTTGGATTGGGACGATGATCGACGCACTGCTGCCACAAGCCATGGATCGAATTCTGGACATGGCTTGTGGAGGCGCCCATGCCGCAGCGATTTTGGGTATGGTTTTCGCGAGATTTTGTTTGACTCTGGATTGATCTCTCTTTTATGGAGATGGACGTGTGGCGACGTGGGGGCGAGGATTGATTGGTCACGAAGGCGATTCCGAGAAGGATGCTGCCGCTGTTGTTGTTCTTCCAAGTGTAGTAGAATTTTCTGGAGGTCACAGAGTTTGCGAAGTAGCTGCTGGATGGAACCACACCGCATTTGTCACTGGTAAGATAGATCAATTCTTTTCTTCTTTCTTTGTGACTTTTCTTCTTCTTTTCTTTTCCCCCCAAGAATCCGGGGAGCTTTTCACCTGAGGAGATGGAGCTTTTGGACAACTCGGCCATGGAGACATTGTAAGTCGAGGAACTCCCTGTAAAGTTCTGGCTCTTTCCAATGCTTTCAAAGTTGCCTGTGGAATGCGCCACACACTGGTTCTCTCCGGTAAAAATTTCCTTCTTGCCTGCTTGCGTGCTTTGCATCCAAATCGTGAGTGAATCTATGTATCTGTTTCTTTCTCTTTTATCTTCTGACAATGAGGGATGCAGGAGAAGGTGATGGCCGAGTTGTCAAAGCTTTTGGACTAGCCAAGCGTGGTCAGCTCGGCAGCCTTTCGTCCGAAGAGCTTAACAAAGTGGCATCTCCACTAGCAATTCCATCGCTCGACTCCTACACTGTTTCGATTGTGGCAGCAAATGGAGACCACAGTGCAGCTTTGAGTGGTGAGTCCTCAAAGAAAATTCGTTTTTCCAGGAAATCTTTTCCATCTTTTGGCAGGCAGTGGCCAGCTTTATCTCTGGGGAAAAGCATTTGATGATCAATCGGGTGCTTACGTACCGTTCCTCGGAAGCGAAGAGCTTAAGTTCCACCAAGTTTCTCTCGGCTGGAACCATGGCCTTGGTCTTACAGGTACCACACCCTGGTACCATTTTAACCCGTTTTTGTAAGTAGTGTCCTGCAGAGGACGGGGAAGCTATTTCTTGGGGGACTAATTGGCATGGTCAACTCGGATCCTCTAGATGGTTCGTTTTTCCTTTATTTCTTTGTTTGTTTCAAACAAGAATATGATCTGTGACAAATGTTGCAGCATAAGCGAAAGGTCGAACACCAAGTTTTACAGAGTACAAGGGCTGGAAAAACACAGTAGTTTCCATATCTGCTGGATCCGAGCACTCTGCCGCTGTTGATGGTTTGTGGAGAGCTTTGATCCTTTTATTCATGCTAAAGATCTAATGTTTTCAGCTGCTGGTGACCTGTATGCGTGGGGATGGGGCGAACACGGGCAGCTTGGGCTTGGCCATTTCAGCAACGAGAGGTATCCTTGTAGAGTAGTAAAATATGGACAATGCCAAAGAAGTCGTGTATGTTGTGGCAGTGGCTTCACGTTTGCATTTTGTAGGACATTGTTATAACTTCGGTATAAAACATTTGCTTATTAAAAATCTAAAACTTCCTTACCTTTAAGAGTTACTGTAATTTAGTATCAACCTTCATGTGGTTTAAAGTTTAACCATAAACTTATATTTTATTGTATTTGGGAAAATAACTTTTCATTATTAATCTCATGGAATATATACCTACCTATTATTTAGGTCCATGCTTACGGGAAAAACATTGCAAAGGCTCCAACTGTTGTTTGATCAAGCTCCTCAGAAAGATTTGAAATACGTGATACTCGGTGGCGGACGTACAGCATTTGCCATTAGCGGGTACTCCAAACTCTTCAAACTCATGGCTCTCTTACGTGCCAGAGTGTAGTATAGTGTCGTACAATTTAATTCTAACATCATATTCTAGATTGGGCCACATAGGACTCACTAAAGCTCTGTTTCTTGCAATCCAGAAGGGAATCTGGTATCTTGGATCGCACTCCTGGCAGTATATACTTAAACTGGGCATCATGCGGATGAGTTGAGATTATTCTTGGAGCTCTCCCTGGTTGAGATTCTGTACTCTATGCGGTCAAAAATGACGCATCGCAAGGAATGTCCATCGTCCACGTGCTCCTTGTAATCTTGTTCTTCTGCTACGCGTGGTACGCGGTACGCTGAAACCAGGGCTAGAACAAGGCTGGCGGGATACTTGAAAGATGCCGAAGTCTAGACTGAGGATTCTTCATCAATGCAATGGCTCCTTGATTATCACAATGAAGGACTGTTGCCTCTCCCTGCTCGTAATTTAGTCTGTTGAGAAAACTCTTAAGCCAAAGGATTTCCTTGGCTATTTACTCTGCCTCTTTACTTGAAAGTGCTATGCTCAGCTGTAGTTGGGTACTCTATAGAACGCCCTGGCTGACGACATAGTCAGAAGTTGATTTGCGCTGATCAAGTTCCCTTGCCCAATCTGCATCCAGGAATCCCTAGAGCTTGAGTTGAGGTTGCTCTTGTTTTATGTAGCACAAAACATAATCAACTGTCCCCTTCAGGAAACATAACACTTGCTTAACTGCTTGCCTTGGAAGCCGGGAATTGCTAGGAACTGTGAAACCACTCCCACTAAATAGGTGATGTTTGGCGTAATACAGACCCTGGTTGGTGTGCCCAAGCTATTGATGGCATATCTGGAAATCCACTTCTTTCCTTAAGTCCACTCTGGCTCCACTTCAACATTCAGATGATACAACTTAGTATATTTCCTCCCACACCTAATTGCATTGCCAACTGAGCTTGCAATCATACATATCTACTTCTTGAAAGTGATGTCCAAGTCAGGATAGTCAAAATAATGTCTTGTTTACCCCAGAAACATAGTAAACATTATATACACTCACAATCTACTCTAATGGAAGCTTGATGTAACTCGTGCAAACTCTCTCCACCTTGTGCAAGTAATCATCCCCTAGGAAAGTCCTTCTGATCTAAGTGATGTAAAGAGCTCCCTAAGGTGTGTCAGGTGTTTTTTTGCCCCTAAATCAAGCCCCACAACCTCTATTCCTGCCTCATCCTGGATATAAACAAGCTGTAATTATCCTAATCATCCTCATTGCCCTCCTTTGCCATGCTAGCAAAGTTGGCAGCCACTCTCTGTGCCGAGGCTTTTCTTGCCTCCTTTGCTCTCCTGGCCTCCTCATCTGTACAATGTCTTGCCCAGTGTCCTGGCTTCTTGCAAATGTTGAATCTCAAGCTCCAGCTCAATTGCCGTAAGCAGGATCAGTGATTGATTTTGCCCATGTACTTGTAGATATTGCCAAGCAGATCAATGCAGTCCAGATGAAGGAGTTCGATGATGATGAGCTGCTCACAACATTCTTCAAGGGATTGAACAGACCAATGTAGCTGGCAGGGTCACATCACCTTAAGTTCCAGCAATACTTTTACACATGTCGTGGCAGATCTCACCATGCTAGAGGGCTTTCTCAAGTCTAGGAAAACAAGCTCAAAGGAGAAAGAGTTGGCACTCTTTGTTGGGAAGGGGAAATGATCGGTCATAATGTGTGATAAATTAGGACCAAGAAATGACAAGGCAAAGCAACAAGAAGTTTAAGAAAAAAAAAAAGAAGAACAATTTGTGCAGGTCTTGCCAAGTATCAAGCACATAGAATCCCAAATCTCGTTTGCCATTCTGTCAATATCTAGATAGCTTCAGTAGTTCTTTTGGAGACCTCATCCCAAAACCCCTCAACAATGGTGCCATCTTCGATACCATGTAAAGACAAGAAAAACAAAACAAGGATTCTAGAATGCCAGCTGCTGCTGGCTGTATGCCTGGCAGTATCAAGCTATTCACACATAAGAAAGTGGAAGAGACAAAGCTAAGCTAGCCAAAAGTCATAATCGTCAACTTGACCTGAAGGGAAGCTAGACCTCAATAGAAAACCTAGAGTGATCTGTCATCAAGTAAAAATGCTCCAAAGTTTTTGATCCTGGTGATGTTTGGATTGCCGTCCATTGCCGTACTGTGATCCCCCCCTCTCGACCATGAGAACTTTGTATTTGCTTGAGAGCGTTTCGGCAAGGGGCAATCCCACAGTTCCACCACCCAAAATTATATATTCCGTAGAGATTGATCAAACAAAACGAATGTCTTGGCTAGAAGAATGTAGGCAACGATCGAGCCCATGTGCAAACCTTTAATGGAAGAAAAGCTCGCTTAGAAAATCATATATCTAGAGTGATCTATCCACGCATAATAAAAAACGTGATGTTATTGCTACAAAAAAGATTGTTGTGACCTTTTTACTGACTTTTCAAGACAAGTAGACACCGGGTTTCTGTGAAGACGTGCGGGATCCCAAGTAGGATTTCTGTCTCTATGCATTGTGAGTTGGCTAGGTGTGCTAGAGGTTCTCGCTGTACTTGCATTTCCGGTGCCAATCTGAAATGGTTCAACAGGGTACTGGCCGGGTTTGTGCTTCGTGGGAGAGGAATAACTTCGTCTACATTGTCCGCCTGTGTACCGTACGCGACTCAAGGTGCGGATCGCCGAGCGCCTGTAGGACTGCACAGGTCTTATGACAAGCTTGGATGATGTTCGAGGCTCACAGTGGTCCAGTTTTGAGATGATATAGCAGCGTACAGCGGCCATTCCAGTCTGAAAGCCCTGGAGTCCACGAAGATCGTGGCTGATGCCATTAGCTGCGTTGCGCAAGATGTACGCACTCGTGGACATGCATGGAATTAAGTGTGGCTGTGGCCCGGCCCCCCAGAAGGTGTTTGACAATATGGGGTAGAAGAACGAGCTCTGCTCTACAGCATAGCTATACAAGAATATTAGTGAAGACAAACGCCAAAACATTCATTAGTGTTTGGGTTGCGTGCGGACGTGCTGGTTTCATACGAGATGGGATTGCGATTCCAATAGCTGAAGAACCTCTCTTCTGGGAAGATCTGGGTGCGTGAAAGAAGCCCTGAAAGAAGACAAGGAGAACAAGCTGCCAGACGGAAACCGCTCCAGAAAGTTTCACGACACAATGTATACTTTTCATCAGGAGAAGATGTTTACAGTGTCGAACCTCTATCTCATCAACTGCTTTAGAGTTTTTGGTAACTCTCCAGCTGAAAATGCATCTATTAATGCCTTTTCAATCTCTATAGGGAGGGAAGGCTTTGTCACCGCCGGACTTCTTCAATTTGGATCAAACGAGGACTAGAAATTGACTGTGCTCTTCCAACATTAGGTGGTCTATAGTGCAATCTGTGGTACTTCAATTTTAACATTTGAGCATAAGTCAACAGCATCACCACCCAAGAGCATGTCTTTGGCAGAGTGATCATTTGGAAGAACTCCCAAGCTTCTTCACGGCTGCTGAGCTTTGCATAGATACTGGCCTTTACATTTTCTCCTGACGAACTTAAAGTATGCAATGTACTTCCAGCATTATAGTTGGGATCACAAGAACTACCTTATAGCTGTGTTCTCTTAGATAGCCTTTCCATAAATACAAAACTACTTGTACATGTCAGAAGTGGGATATGAACCCACGCCCTCGTGAGAAGAGCAGAACTTGAGTCTGCCGCCTTAGACCGCTCGGCCATATCCTGACATTACATGTCTACAGCGAGAGAGTTTTATCTAGCAATGGTTGAATGCATGAAGCATTCAACCACTTGGCAATGCATGCTGGAGTGTAACATAATATATAAGGCCTCTAAGGTCTAGCGATTATTCAGCAAGAATTGATCGAGTTCCATTAACCTCTACTGCAATAATGAAGGCTGCTTTGGTGTTGTTTCTGGTGTTGGCCTTTGCCACTCTCCAGATAGCAGTCTCTTCTTCTTCTTTGGGTAGACGGGAGCTCTTGTCTGTGGATGATGGTGTTGCTGATCAGGATTCATCAATGGTAGAATCAGAGTCTACAATGCATCCCCTTGAGATGGATGGTGATCATGATCATGAAGATGGGGTTTATGGCCAAAGCAAGCACAAGAGGAGCAACAACAACAACAATAACATCAACATCAATATCAACATTTGCAGGAAGAAGTCTATGGATCATGAAGATTCAAAGCATAAGGACAAGGAGGACGAGAAGAAAGGGTTCCATTTTTAGTGTAGAGATGATGGATCCTCCATCATTTGTAGATCAATAAAACCGTCTTGCGTACGAAGATCTTCACGATTTTAAGGAGCGCAAATTAACAAACCGTGGAATAAAGCCCCAATGGTTTGCATCAGTTTTAGCACCAAATTTACCCTTACTAACCACCTAGCATTTGCTGAAGTACTAGTCTTAACATAACACAACAACTTTTGGCGTTTCAGATCTTTTAAATCGTCTTCTCGAGAAGATCTGCTCAAGACGCTGCAGCTTTGGCAGTGAGAAATGCGACAGGACACGTCCGCCGACCGCTCGATTTGCTCGATTCTCCTGCGCTGCTTCTCATGCTGTTTTGTAGTTTTCCTGGAGCTGGATAACAAAGGAAAAGCTCCTGGCGAGATTTTTTTTTTTCTTCCACATAAAGAAGCACTAAAAATTTCTGGCCTATCCTGATTGGAGCGAATAATCTCAAACACCCAAGCAATGAAAGTGACGACTTTCCGAGTCTCTGCCTTCGGATGTACAACCATTTTTACATAATTATTAACTTTTGAAACACTAGTATAAATGCCAAAGCAAGAAGGTAATAAATAATACTAAACATGAATAACATTATTATTCCTCTATGTAACACATTATTTTTATGACCAAGGTATTTTAATTGTTCTGTCATGTTTAAAGGTATTGAACTTTTTACTTGAACCATACTATCACTATTTTTTGGATTTAAAAGGAATTTTTTAATATTTAATTATAAAAGGATATAAAGTGCACCCAATCATTTTTGAGTTTGAGTTTTTAAATTAATCCAAGAATTAATCGGGGCAATCAATAAAGGTTTGATGTTTGAATCCTATAGTAGGCATGGAAAAGATGTGATATTAACAAATAAATAAATTGCTACAGTTGCATGCAATACTTGGCATGTCGGCACTGGTGCTGGCCACCGGTCTTACAGAAGAACAGCAGCAGCTATACCTTCGGCAGTTATGATCTGGTAAGAAAGTGTCTATGGTTTAAGCTATGCTGGACTTCTCGTTTTGTGGGCAACTTAGAGTACTGAGTCGTTCAAAGCTCTCGTACTTGAAACGTCAGCTTTCTCAAGTGTGTAAGTTTGGAAAATAGACTTTCTGGTCCCAATGGTTATAATATGTTCCAAGGTTTACAAAGGCGCCTAAAGATCCGCAGCCTCTAGCTACACTTAAAGTTTAGCACAAATGAGGACCACACTTGTGAATGTGTAACTTTACGACGTACTTGTCAAGCTCTTCCTCGTTGCTAAAGGCATATCCCAGGACGTTCCGCGTCGAGAGCAACAGTGTTCCAACTAGGCAGGAATCCGCAAGTCCAATGCTAATTGTCACACACACTGTGGTCTTTGCGGACTGGGTTCATTTGACACTCGAGTGCGGCCAACGCAAGTAAAAAAACAGATAGAAACCACTCTTATCTCCACCATATATTGGAAAGTAATTGTCATGCATCTCAGTTTTCTGTCTCTTTTCAGGGTCTGTGGATTGGAATAGTTTGTGGCATTGCAACTCAAACGAAGGATCAAGTGAAACGTTTACAACACTTGGGAACCATGTTGATGTGGTCTGCTTGGCTGTAGAATCTAGTTTTAGGCTCTGGGACTAAACTCAATTCTTCCTTATGGTCGTGTTTGCCAATTTCAGGCACTACTTGAATAGAAAATAGATTGCACATTTCTCTTGTGCAATCAACTCAACCTTGAAGATTCCATGCAGCACATCGCAAAGTGACGAGTTTCGAAATGGTGGCCCGCTGAAGCAAAACTTGCGCTCGCATGCAGGACCCACTGCTCTTTCTGTAAGTGCTTTTTATCTGATTTTTTGCAAATTACTGATTAAAATTAGTGTCTAAATGTTTTTTAAATATTTAAATGGTATTAAACTGACATGACATGAACCCAGGTACGGAAGGCGGGTCATGCCCACCATAAAACAGAGGCGGCCGCAAAGCTGAATGTCAGTGATGGAATCGCCTCGTGGGTGAATGTGGTTTAGGGGTACAAATTTAGAGGATGTTCATTGAAATACAAGACAAAATTACCAAACGCGTGCCGATATATGTACAGTGTATTGGCAAGCTCTATTCACATGAATCTGCATTGTGCCAAAAGCCCTCTATAAAACGAGTCCTGAGCCAAGCAGCATTGGCTCGGGACTTCATTGGTTGAGCAGTTCGATCCTTTCTTGACGATCATCCATTATATATATTGCATTTGCTTGATTTGTGCCAACATGTCTGTGATTGTAGATGTTACCATGGTTGGGGGCCCTTCCGGTAGCCAATACCAGGAAGTCCAAGCCTGGAAGGTCGGGAAACTCATCACCAAGCTCACCGTTTTCAAGCAGGAGAACAGAGTGAGAGGTGCCTACGTGTGGAAGAATGGAGAGGGCCAGTACGATGGAGCCACTTTCGGTGTTGCTACTGGAGATTCCTCAGACACCTTTGAGTTCCGAGCGCATCACCTCCGCCTGGAAGATGGGGACCAAATAATCACGTCCGAGCAGGCCACATCTGGTTCACCACCAGCAACGGTCGCAACTTCGATGCGGGGCCTGGCAAGTGGGGCAGTGAAACCAAACTTGACGTTGGGTCGGGCTACCTGGTTGGCGTGGAAGCTAGTACCGGTTCAGACATTAACAACTGGGGCTTTGTCTTCCTCAAGCCGCTGCTTCTCCTCACTCTCACTGATGTGGAGTACCCCAGCCTCAATGAGATGGGTGGTATTGTACCCGTCACCCTTGACAGTCTCGACGAGACTAACGACAGCAAGAATTCCGACCTCAATTGGACTCTGGAAGGCTCCAAGAGCGAGACAATCTCATGGGAGTTTTCCAAGGCTGAGGGCCTCACTGCAACTGTAGGCTTTCAGGTTTCTGCTGGGATTCCAGAGAATGGACTTGGAGAAACAGGGAGCTTCCAGTGGGAGGTGAGCAATTCAAGCACCAGGACAGCCAGCCACAGCCAGGTGACTGATCTCAAGTGGTCAACAGGCGGTGTTCTGGGGTTACTGCATCTGCTCTCACCCAGGTGGGCCAACTTTCCAACTTGTTTTACAATGGTACCATTGTGATCAAAACCCAAGACAGCCAGAGCTACACCTACCCTGTAAGTGGGATGTATTCGGGTGTAACAGTGACCAACGTCCAGGTTGCTGTTGACGTTAAGTGATCCTGTGTGTGGAATTATATGTATTTCTGGGGTACAGCCAGACCGAGCTTGTACCACAATAAGATTCAATAAAAGCATATATCTGATATATATATATATATATATATATATATATATATATATATATATATATATATATATATATATATATATATATATATATATATATATATATATATATATAACGACCTTTCATTACCATTGGTCAGCTCGCATTGTGGTGAAGCTACATAGTTATTGTACAAGAAACTTAATTAAAATTTTACAAATACCAAACTCGTTATTACAGCAGAAATGTAGATATATGTGGCCATTGTCCTCCAGACTACTAATGTGATTATAATAAATAAAGAGAGAAAATAGATAAGCTGGTCTTAACGGCTAGAGGGGTATATTCTCAAGAGAATTTAGTTTTCCGTCTATAAACGGAAATTCATGTAGCCAGGATATTCCGGTGGGGACGCTTCAATTTCCTCTTCCTCTAGGGCAGACAAGCTTGCGCGCCCGGTTTTCTCGCAGGGCATGGAAGAAGCTGGGGGCTAAGCTCGATCGACGCGCGCGTCCATGGCCTTCTTCAGTATCGGCAATGTAGGGCGAGACATGGGGGACGCGATCTCAGCTCCACATCCGGCATTTCGCTCGGCGCTCAGGCGATTGAGGGAGCCGCGGTTCTTGGCGGTGTTCTTGGCATGGAATCTGGCCGCCATAGCAGCTGAGGTGGGATCAGGGATCGCGGCATTCGAACTGTCGGCTCCCAAGCTCCAGCACCGAGTGTGGGAGACGATCGTGTTTCCCTTGTCGCTGCCTCACGCCGTGGCGATGGCATTCCTCGCAAAGAGGGACCATCGCGTGCTCGCGGGCTGTTTTCTCGGCTTCTACGGCGTGGAGATGTACTACTGTGGCATGGGAGGAGGCGATCGAAGAGGATTCACGGCCTTGAGGCTTGTGATCTTGTTCGTGGTGGCATCGCTCCAAGCGGCCGAGACGTACCTGTGTAGCTGCTTGCTCCGGAGATTTCTTTGCCTGGAGCAGTCCAAGGTGGTGCCGACGATCGATTCCAAGAGAGACGCGATGCTCTTCTTCGGGATCGTCGTGACCATCTCCGCCATCTTTGAGGCATCCGTGGCGCTCGTCGCCGGCGTTGGACGACTGGTTCTCTGGGCCGATTTCATGCCATTTTGGATGACTTGGTGGCTGGGAGTGGTGGCTGGGATCATCACCGTGTCTCCATTTCTCATCCACTGCTTGGTTTGGAGGCCGCAGAGGAAGTTCCTCAAGCCCGCGAAGATGGTCGAAGGTTTCGCGGTGATGGTGGTGACGCTGGGACTCTTGGTTGTGATCTACACAGTGACCATCTACACTTACTTCAAGCCGCTGCCTTATTTGATCTTCCCGGTGATCCTCTACACGTCCTTTCGTTTCAACAGGCTCGGCTGGGCTTTGGTGGTGGCTTCGTCTTCCTTGTTCGTTGCTTGGGCGACCGTGAGGAGGAAAGGCGCTCTTTACAGCATCTCCGGGGCCAGCCGCGTGGAGCCCCGGCTGTTGATCCAGATCGAGCTCTTTGTGTCCGTTGGTGCGCTTGTGGCGATCTCTCTCGCGGCAGCTGTGAGGGAGAAGCGCCACCTTTCCAAGAAACTCGAGAGGCTCAACGAGAGACTCGAGGTTCTAGTGCTGCAAAGAACTACTCAGTTGCTTAAGGCGAACGAGGAGTTGACGGCCTCTCGGACGGCCGCAGAACAGGCAAGCCAGGCAAAATCAGACTTCCTTGCGAACATGAGCCACGAGATCAGGTACTCTCCAATCTTTGCATTGCCTTGTAGTTATTTTTCTTTCTTTTGTGGCCAGGACTCCGATCCATGGAATACTCGGCATGTCGGCACTGGTGCTGGCCACCGGTCTTACTGAAGAACAGAGAGATAACATGACCACTGTCAAGGACTGCGCAGATATGCTGCTACACCTTATCAACGGGATTTTGGACGTTGCTAAGATCGAGGCTGGTCGTTTTGAGGTGGAGCTCGTGTCCTTCAACCTTTGTCATGTTATCAAGAGCACTTTGCACATTCTGGAGCCCCGCGCGAGGGAGAAGCGGCTCTGGCTCAAATGGGACGTTGATGCTAGAGTTCCGACTGTTTTAGTCGGGGATTCCGGGAAGCTGAGACATTGTCTACTGAATCTTGGTGAGTTTTCTTGGTTGTTTGCTCATTTCTGTGCTGAAAAGTGTTGTTTTACTTGTCTAGTTGGAAATGCACTAAAGTTTACTCACCAGGGGTATGTCCAAGTGACGGTTGCTCCATACGTTGACGGGCTGTATCCTTCGGTGGATCCAGAAAGCACTGACCGAGTTATGGCGCTCACGGAAAGGAAGTTCGTTTTTGTACCTCACTGCACTGTCAAGAATCAACCGCGAACGGTATCCGATGGTGCACAGATGAAGCTGGTGTTTAGAGTATCTGACAGCGGTATTGGGGTCAGCAGAGACAAGCTCTCAAATATCTTCAAGCCGTTCACTCAAGCAGACCCCTCGATCTCTCGCTTGTATGGAGGCACGGGACTGGGTCTTTGCATCGTCCAAAGGTACGAAGTTTCTAAGATTCAACTTAAAAAGGAAATCCTCATCCAAGATCCTGTTTAACAGAAGTCACGATTCACAGATTTGTGGAGCTTATGGGAGGTCAAATATGCGTTGAGAGTGAATATGGTACTGGTAGCACCTTTTGTATTCTGCTTCCATTTTATTTGATCGAAGGAACCAGAGTCGAAGAGACATCAAACTACGAAGCACCAGAGGCGCCGAGTGAAAGTGCAGGTACAGAAATGAGAAACTCTGCACTGACGTAGTCTATAGTTCAAAAACTTGCAGTGGATGAAAGTAAAGTCATGGCCTCACCAAACGAGGAGCTTATAATTCCATCACCAACAACACCAAAACCAACAATAAAGCCAGCTAAAACGTCCCCGACTACGACGCCGCCGCTGTCACCCACAAGAAAGCGTGTACTTCTCGTGGAAGACAACTTAGTGAACCAGAAAGTTGCATCACGACTGCTGCAAAAATACGGTCATGTGGTGATCACGGTTTCAGATGGGCTCGAAGCTGTCGAGGCGCTCAAGTCAGATCACAAAGCATACGATCTCGTGCTCATGGATATACAGGTTTGTTCATTTCCATTCACTCGTTTAGACTCAAACAGATTTAAACCTCGGCTGTGCTCGGTTGTTGTCTTTTCTCGATTTACAGATGCCTGGAATGGATGGTTTGGAAGCAACACGGCGGATAAGAAAGGACGAGTTGGGCTCTGGATGGCAGAAGATCCCGATTATAGGACTCACGGCAAACGCAATGAAAGGCTACCAAGATATATGCTACGAAGCGGGTATGGATGGTTATTTGCCAAAGCCTTTCGATATCAAACAGGTGCTATCGACTATACGGGATGCCTCTATGTCTAAGGAGACACGCATTGACATCAAGGACGATTGAAGAAAGCGCACGCTTTGGAGAGATGTATATAGATTCTTTTTTGTTTCGTTCTCTTTTTTTTTTGGAACAAATGGCCAGAGACGAACCACACTTGAAGATTTGGTCACTTGAAAAGTTTTTCTCAGTCAAAAAAGTTAAAGATCACTTGCAAAACGCTGAAGACTTGCCTTGAAAACAAGCGGACAGGGAGAAATGTACATGGATTATTTTTTGTTTCGTCTTTCTAAAAGCTCTCTGCCTGCTAGAGACAAGTTGAGAACAGGGAGTTCAAAGAAAGTTTTATATTACTCAAAAAGTTAAGATCACTCTAAAGCCTTCCACAATTCTTGACGAGTTTCTAGATTGAATATGAAAACATTTCCTTCCCCTCTCACAACCAAACATGTTGTCACTCTGCAATTATCTTGTTGGAGGTGTGCAAAGCATCCACTCACAGGGTTGAGAAAGAGCTTAATCACCTTTTCTTGTGAAGACCAACTTACAATCTTTGCAACACTTTAAACTCCAACAATCACTTTCATCATTGCCATTTTGCTTTTCATTTTGGAATGCTATAGCTTTGCTACTTGGTGGTGACTGCTGATTTCCATAGACTGGGTAATAGTGTATGGTATAGAATGTTAATTCAGTATTTATTTCAGTGCAGTATCTTGTTAATCCATAGTGATTTTTAAACCCTCCGTCAGGAGACATTCTGGTTCATGATCAAGTGAAAATGCTAGAAGAAAAATAAAACGGTATAAACAAATCAGTGACACAAACCATGATATTTGTGAGGGGTGCATTGATAACCCAAAAAAATACAGCATATATTTCAAACTCAATTTTAGAATTAGGGCTATTGATATGTTTTGTAATTTCTTGACAATTAAGTTAAACTCAAGTTCTTCTAAAGCATTATAACTGGAGTGCAAAGTTGTTGATGGCTGAAGAGGATATTGAGTGGTGGTGGAAATCAACCCCAAACTAAACTAACTTCGAAAATAAAAATGAAGAATGAATGCATGATATATAAAATAATTTTTTAGTGAATAAACCTTGGATATTCTCATCTTATATAGTTACTAATTAATTAATTAATTGTAAATTATAAGTATACAGTTAAAGTTAGTAAGCTTTTATCAAATCATAGCATTCAGATATAAGCTTTCTTTTGAATATAAACAAAAAATTGACCACTCCAAAAAATATTAAACACTAGTTTAATATAATCATGACTTAAGTAATATCAAAAAAATATTATTAATTTTCTTTATGATATATCCATTCTAATTTTCCAGTTTATTTTTATTTAAGACTAAGAGTTTAATTGTCCCCTGTGCAACCTAAAATAAAAGGCAAAGCAAAATAAAGAAGCTTAAGTGAATTAGAGTTATGTGTAAGTTTAAGCATCCAAAGAAAGAAAAAAGACCCAACCTAAGCAACACTCATCATAGACAAGCAAGAAATAGTTAGAATTGGTTATAAAATCATGTAATATATAAATAACACTTAAATATGCTAGAAAATAACCTTCACTTACTTTTGTATGCATTTGCATTGAATTAACTATCTTTTCTTTTACCTATAATTATTTGTGTAAAGTAGAGTTGAAAGAGTGACATATACTTATCCTTACTCATGCTTTTAGGGTTTGAAGTTGAGTTCTCTTTTATTCTTTTTTCATTTTTCTTTCATTATTTACATTTTTATCTTTGTTTGTTTATCACTATTTTGTAGGTAGGGGCAAGAACGCGAGTATAGGTAGAAAAAGCCTTACTCAGCTACAAAAGAAAAGTATTGCAACATTGCCATTTTACCCCTAACTTGTGCCAATACTAGGATAACTTTCCAGTCTATAATCCTATTGTAATTTTGGTAGACAAATAATTTATATTCAGTGTAATTAACCCTAATTTTTTAGTTGGACAAATAACTAACTGTGATAAGGTTTCTAATTTGCATCTATTTATTGTGGTCTCATGAGTGCTGCAAACCTTAAGAAAACATGTGTTTATATTCATTTATGTCAATATAGAGTCCATCATAGACAAGGCATAAAGCCTTAAATTTCCATCCTAGAAAGGCATATTTACCTTGTGTTTGAAGATTATTTTTTAATTTGCCTTGCTATTTGAAGAACAATGAAGTACAAAATTATTTAGTCTTCCCACTTTATAAGGCAAAGCAAAGTCATATATTGCAGTATAGATAATATTCTATTAGAATATCCTGGTGTCTAACCAAAGTTGTCTTGGATTAAACCTAGCATAAATAGGAAAGCAAAGACACCAATAACAATATAAGAGTGAAACATTCTTTGCTACTTTCAAAAGAAAGCTAGATCAACAAAATGTGGCAAGGTAAGAATTTCATGATTCCTTCTTGATGAAGGACTTGAAATTAGATTATAGAGTAAAAATATTTCAACAATAGAAGAAAAAATTGATATTTCAATTAATTAAAGGAGGAAGAAGGATAGAATATTCAAAATTGAGTGGAAACTCAATTATCCTTGGGTGTATCCTGTGGTGGATGCTAAAAGTAAGTAGAGGATGAAATATATAATATGTGTATAATCCTTTTGGAAAGGATGGTTCTTTAACTTTTCAAAAACTAGTTTTGAAAACATCAACTAACTATAACTATTTAGGAAGTAAGGAAGAAGAAAGGGTTATCTACTGCTCAAAAGAATTAATATAAGAAAAAAAGAATTTCCTTAATGTAATATATATACTTCATTGTGAAGAAGGGATTACCTTTAAAAAACTATGAATTTGTGTGAATTTAGTAAATGCCTCATATGCCAATCACTAGATGAAAAGATTTTTGCCAAGATATTCAAGAGTATGGTGGATGTTAGTATTAATAGAAGTTTGAAAGCTCATCTTATTATATATATATCTCTTCTACATGTAAGAATTTTTTTTTCTAGAATTGATGGTAATTGAAAATTCTATTACTATAAATAAATATAAATCCATTAAGAAGGTTTTGAAATAAATAAACCTTAATGAGAGAAAATATTTTGCTATTAGAACTTATAGAGCTTTTGTTATGGTTGGATGAATAATCTAGTTTAGTAATAAGATTAAAACATGACATTTTACACTTGTTTAGAGTGCATTAACTCATGAATAAAATTTAGTTGCTATTGGAGCTTTGCATGCATTTGTGGCTATTGAAAAGCTATGCAATCAAATTTACAAATGGTTGCATACTTCCAAAAAAAGAGTCATGACCTTTTAGGCTTCTAGAAGATATTATGAATATACATATATTAGGTTTATAGTGTATATTGGTTATCTTATAGGGAAGTCTTATAAAGAATAATCATCATAATGCTAGCTCTTTTTGCAAAATCTTCTATTATGAAGATATATTAGCTTTTGACAAATTACACTATCCATATGCTAGATGATATTATAGAATTGAATAGTTTAAACAAATTCTTTCAAGTTGAAATTGTGGATATTGCTTAAATTACTGGGTATTTAGATAGTACTCAGAAAAGTATCAGAAGGACACTTCTGAAAGAGACTTTTGGTGTAAAATATTAAAGTAATTTTGTAGAAGCTACTAGATATGGATTTATTAAGTTTGTAGATTCTTGGGAGAATAATATAAATATGTCTTAGATTATACTTTTATTCCAAAATGTAAAAGAGATGGTAACTTGAGCTCTTGCTTAGATTTAAGCAAATAATGTATTTAGAAACTCTATGTTGATATGTTAACCAAAATGAGTATGGATATAAGCATTTTCAATGCTACAAAACTATTCAGCCCAAAAAACTACTCAAATGATAAAGAAATGTTAAATAACAATTGTTACAAATGGTTTACTAGATTAATATAGTACTTTTATTGATAAGAGATTTGTGGAGATGATATTTCCATGATACATACATGTTCTAATTTGATGGAACTGTAGAAAATCATCTTCTTGATCTGCTTATGTTGAATATGAATTTTCTTGACAAAATTAATTGAAAACTAGTTTAACATGCTCTCCAAAGATTGGAACTTTAGATAATTTAATGTTAAAATGGTGACAATAACTATGTTTATAATGTATGACATCAAAAGGAGAGAAGAATTTTGTGTCATTGAATTAGTTATATAAATATTTATATACATTTTTATCTTACACAATGAAAGAAAAATCTAGCAGATAAAAAAAAAAAAAACAAAAAGCTCTGCAAAATGCAAAACTTAATTACCTTGCAAATTTGAGATCATATTAGTTAGGCACATTAGAATTAGCCATATTAATGATTTTTATACTTAATTTAATTCTGTAATGTGCCTTTATAAATCAAATTTGCTCATTAGTTCTAGCACCCACCAAAAAAAGTATAAGACTGATGGATTATATTAAGCTATTTTGATGATTTATTAATGCTTTTATTTTTCTGGACAAACTAAACATCAATGCACCACTCTTTCCATTCCATCCCAGAATTGTTATAAAACGTTATATATATATAATCATAGTTTATCTTGAATATTTTAACTATGATACTGATTTCAATGTCATATGGTTTTGGGAAATATTTCCTCCATATTTGCTTAGTCAATGGGCTTATTGTTGAACTTTGTGGGCCACCAAATTTGGCCAATCAAAGGGGAATAACTTAGTTTTTTAACCATGTGTTATTTTGAAAAAATATTAGGTTAGCCAATAGGCTCATACGTGGTTTTGACCCTTTATCCTATGGTGATTTACCATAGGATAACACCACGAAGTGGAACCTAAACCCTCTTTATGCCATGTGACACATGCCACGTGTCCAAGGACAGTGGTGTGGAACCCGAGGTTCAGGGCCTTGGACCACTGAACGAAGGAACAGTGCCAAACTCCCAAGCATGGAGCCAAGGAGCATTAGCACTGGAGCACGGAACAACTCCTGAGTATATAGCTTAAGGAGTGAAGGGACAGGAGCTCGGAACGACTTAGAACAGTCCTAGAGCAACTAGCATCCCAATGCCAGGACCAACACGCAAAATGGAGCCAAACA